GATAATACTAATGTTAATCATAATCTTAATCGTAATGCAAATCCTTATTATTATCAAAACCGTAATCATAATCCTAATGTTAGTGTTAAGTATAATATTAAACTTAATTCTAATCATATACAAATATTAATTATACTACTACTACCAATACTAACACTAACACTAACACGTAACACTAACAGTAGCACTAACACTAACACAAATATTTGTACTAATACTAAAAATACTAATACTAATACTAATTATACTATTATTTATACTAATATTAATACTAAAACTAATACTAATATTGATACTGATACTAATATTAATCCTAATATTGATAATAATTCTAATACTTAATAGTAATACTTATACTAATATTATTACCATTACAGTATAACTATTGCTCATACCATTACTAATATTATAACTCATATTAATATTAATTCTAATTCTAATACTAATTGTAATGACGACTCTATTCATAATCCTGATCATAATACTAATACAAATACAAATAGGAATACTAATGGTAATACTAACCTAATTATAATACTAATACTAATATTAATACTAATCACAATTCCAATCTTAATCATGATATTAATATTAATTTTGATCATAATCTTAATACGAATCCCAATCATACTAATAATAATACTTATACTTATACTATACTCATACTTATACTAATACTCATACTCATACTCATAATACTCATACTAATACTAATACTAATATTATCAAACCAACAACAATATTTTGAATAATTATTGTTTGATCAACCAAATCAACACCATGAAATACGAAACGAAAAATATTCAAAACAAAGGAATTTGACATATAAATAAATTTGCCACAAATTAATAATGAGGTTTTTTCATATCGAAAAAAATAATAAATAAATTGCTTCGCATGTATCGCTGATTGTACACAAGCTAAAATATGAGAAAGAAAAAAAATTGAAAAGAAGACACATGGTATGAAATTGGTACACAAAAAATTGAAACGAAATTGTAAACATAACCGAAAGTACACATATTTTTTGGTAGTAAATATTTGATTGCCAATATATAAGCTGTCTGTCTTGATCATATCTACAAAAATATATACAATTAAAAAAATTGTTATATATGATTGCAAATATAAAAATTTATTCAACTATATTGAAACAAAAAACCCAATCTTTTAACCCATAACAAATCATTTAAAACAAAATCTTAACAAAGTTTACATTTATTTGTTTAATTCATTTCCATTGTTTAACAAAGTAAGATATATGTAAACCGGTGATGCTATTAGAATGTATACGTTCGAAATACTATTAAAATTTGACAAACTTTTATAAGGATTAAAGAAATGGATAAAAAAATAAGGATTAAAAAAGCTACTTATATTTTACTAAACATATTTTTTGTTGTGATTCAAAATAAATATAAATATTACCATAATAATATAAACAAAATCTTTGTTTTTTATGACAATTGCTATCAAAATTTCTATGAATTATGTAACATATTAGTATAATGATAATTTGCATTAATACCAATTTATTAGCTTTCATGAAATACGTCATGACCAAGAAGTATGTCATTATTCTAGTTTGCATCATTATAAATGGTGATACACATTTTATACATTCAATGGCAAATAGTGAATAGTATAATTATTGTATTATATAAAAAATAAGTCACATTATTATATAATAGCAAGCATGCGATATAATTAAAACAGTTATAAAATAGCTAAAATATTGGAAATTACTAATTACTATATCTTGTTAATATCTATATTATAATAGCAAAAAGTCAAATTATTATAAAGAAAAAACAAAAAAAGGGCAATATGGCATTGAAAAATATAATATTTATCTACCGGAAAAGAATTTATTATGTAATGATTTTAAATCAATCTCGTTTCTATGAATGTTGACTAATATATTTCCTAAATTTTATATTAAAATTTTTAACAATAAATGTGTATGAAGTTTTTTTTTAATTTAGTGTGTGTGAGAGTCAAAAATAAATTCTTAAAAAATAGTATGTATTGATTTTAAAAGAATCTCATTTTACAAAATTTTGTAACGTAGAAATATACTACTATTTTTTAATGTACGTATAATATATATATATATATCAATAATTTTCTTCAGCTTTAAATTTGAGCACGACATATTTTATTAAACAATAGACAAAAATTATCAATTTAATTATAATAATCAAGAGCAAGATTAAAACATAAAATAAATTATAAATTAGAATGTCCTAACACTATTAAACTCCCAACATTAAATAAATTTCATCAAAAGAAAATTCTAACAAAAATTTCAATGAAACAAAAAAAATATATTTAAGGAGTAAATCTTCTTCTTGACTTGCACAATGCACTTCAATGACGTTTTTGTTGGGATAAACAAAAATTGCGTGATTCTTCCACGAATAAATCTCAAAGAAATCTTTTTTTTTTTTTTTGCCAATGTATCCAGCAACATCTCCAAATTGCATGGATATGTTCTACACGGAAATTGATCAATTAACAACATATTATTAATTACACATTAGTTATAAAAAATATAACAAAACAAAATATGAATATAACCTTTGATTTTTGAACTTTCAAGATGTAGTCGCACTTTTTGCAAATTCATAGAACTTTTCCATATCCGATATCAGTCGCGTAAAATACATGACTTAGCAACGTCCATATCTACAAATCATTAAAAACATGTTAGAGATATATACCTATGTAAAAATAACAAATAATATAATGCAAAGTTAATTTGGAGCAAATAATTATCATGTGCATCGAAACAAATAAATCATAATGATGTATTTTGTCGAGAAAAAAAATGTACACCGAATTATGAATTTCAATATAATTATCAGAAGAAGAAAATAGAAAAACTAAAAAGAGAAACCAAGAATAAAAAAATACTCCCTCCCCTCTCTCTCTCTCTCTCTCTCTCTCTCTCTCTCTCTCTCTCTAACTGGATTTTTTTTTGTGGTGATGAATTTTGTGGTATGAGATTTTATAGTTGTATTTATGCGATAAAAACGTAAATAATATGTAAAAAACGGAAATAATTAATTAACATTAAAACAAAGATTTTCAACGATTGAATTTTTGAATTTGAATTTTAAAATACATTAAAGTACATGTTTAAATAAGGAAAACCCGAAACCAATATAATTAATGATATGCTTCAATTTTGCTAAATCACACACACACACACACACACACATATATATATATATATATATATATATATATATATATATATATATATATATATATATATATATATAACTAATGATATCTAGAAATAAATTAACATCGTTTCTATAATTATAGAAATTATATATATTGTAATTGATATTAATTGACACTCTTGTATAAGATATTATGAAATATGGAAAAGATATAAATCAAATTAATACACAAAATAATAATATCTTATATTAAGTTGGTAAGTTTTAATTAATATGCATCTATTATCGGTAATTGCATTAAATAATTAATTAACGTGTGTATATTAATATTGTGATTATAATGGAACAAAAAATGCCACATGAGATATGAGGTGGATGCCACATAGATATGCCACATGTCGATTTCTTAAGCTATGAGGGTTTCAATTTATATATTATATAGATATATTTATTGTTTATAAAAAAAAGAAACTCATTAACCAATAAAACTACACTATTTTGACATGTATGAGAGATAAAATTTGAAACAAAAAATGTGGAATTATTTCATTAATAATATGGGTGATTCTTGTAAGTGTGTTATTTTTGCAATTAATATAATATTGTGTATAAAATTTACCCAATCGTGAAATTATAAAAATTGCAATTAAGTCCTACGTTTTTTAAATCAAAATATTGTTTATAAAAAAAAAAAACTCATGAACCAATAAAAAGACATTATTTTGACATGTAGGAGAGATAAAATTTTAAAATCAATTATGTCAAATTAATTAATTAATAATATAGATGATTATGATAATTGGGGTTTTTTTGCAATTAATATAATATTGTGTATAAAATTTAATTAACCCAAAAAAAGAATTAACGTATTTATTATGAAAAAATGGATTAAAAAAGGAAACTAAATAACCAATAAAAAGACACTATTTTGACATGTAGGAGAGATAAAATTTAAAAATTAATTATGTGAAATCAATTACATAATAATACGGTGATTATGGTAAGTGGGGTTATTTTGAAATTAATATTAAAATGTGGACTCAATCTCCTCAAGTACATAAATTTTATTGTGTATCTTAGTTTTATATATAATATAGATTGTAAATGTATACTCATTTTTTGGTGAATAACCCTAAAATAAATTCAGGGGTGCTGCCCCAGAACCTCGAAAAATTTATCTTACCTTTAGATGTAGCTAGTATTTCCTAAAAATATTATAGGTACATCGTTGTTAATTTCAATGGTTCACGAGACAAAATTCGTAGGTACACATTGTATGATCAAACATATCAAACCATGGCTTAGGTTTTTTCGTATATCATCGACATTTACAACGTTTAACTTAAGTACTTAAATGAAAAATTGTTTTAAATATTTACTTGGAATAATATACCTAACAAAAGTTGTATAGCATAACCACATAAGTAGTAAAATTATCCAAAAAAAAAAATCAAAAAAATTAAAAAAAAAGAAAAGGAAGAAGCTAAAAAAATCTAAGAGACAATGTTTCATGTTCATCAGATACCTCAGTTTCCTTAATTATATATAAATGCTTCCTCCATGGAACACTTTTCTGTAAAAAAAGAATTAAAATTAAAATTAAAATTATAATTAAAATTAAAATTATAATTAAAATTATAATTAAAATTAAAATTATAATTATAATTATAATTATAATTAAAATTATAATTAAAATTAAAATTAAAATTATAATTATAATTATCATTAAAATTAAAATTAAAATTAAAATTAAAATTAAAATTAAAATTAAAATAAAAATTAAAATAAAAATTAAAATAAAAAATAAATAATCTTGATCTGTCAAGGTGAGAAAAAAGAAAGTATATTTTCATCAAAATGAACTTAAAAAAAAAAAATGTTCACCTCCCATGATCATCATCTCCTTTGTACACGATACACGGTTCTCGTTTCGTTACGGGCTCGTTCTTTTATTCGTTGGTGATTTTTTTTTTTCGTTTTCAGTTGTCATCGTGCGAATCCCCTTTGCTCTTGCTTCTCGAATTTATGCCAAAACTTTTCGTGTGTGATTCATTCCAATGCTCTTCATCGCTACTCGAACCGGAATCGTAATTATGATGAGACTCGTGAATAATATCTTGCCTTGTGCTTTTCGCCGATGAATTCGACCGGCTCTTAATACGCACCGATTTCTTCCTACTCTTGCGTTTCGAGCTCGACCCCAACTTCTTCGACGGATCACGTTTCGGAACTGGCTTTTGATCATCATCTTCTTCTCTCTCCTCGTAATCCGAATTGTCGTCCGAACTATCGCCGTACTCGTAATCCGAGCTCGATTTATCGTCATATTTGTCTTTACCGTGGTTCGTATTTCCGTCTTCATCTTCACTGTCGGAAAAATCTTCTTGATTGTGACGACCGGAAACATTGCTATTATTGCTAGTACTCTCCTTAATGGAGCCGAATTGAGTTGAGTTATCAACCCTAGAAGATAGTATAGGTACGAGTCGGGCGGGTATGGGGGCCTCAGGTGGGGCCATTGCCAGAAAACTTAGGGCAGCCGAAATATCGCTTATCAAGGGACGAGCCGAGGGCTCCTCCTGCAGACACATGGCGGCTACTCCGACGGCTTGGTTTAAGCTTGTCACGTTGAATTGCTTTCGGAGGAGTGGATCAGCCATATCGGGGAACTTCGATGGATCTCGAAAAATCGGTTGTGCCTGTTTGTGATCGAGAACAACGAAACGTTAGGTTAGCTTAGAGACGAAGATCGGATGGATCGGATTAGAATCAACATTTTCTAAAGAACAAAATATTCTCATAAGTGAAAATTGTATTTCGTTATGTTCCATAAATTGTTAGAAAAATCAGAAATCGGAATTTCAGAAATTAAAATAATAAAAATTATCTGAAAAGCGGAAATTTCTGGATTGGAATTGCCGGAATTCGAAAATTCAATATGGGTTTGTACCCAATAATATGATATACATACTTATATAGTATTTCTATATAGTAGATTAAAATTATAAATATATATATTTTTTTAAAAGGAAATTTAAAATCCGATCAGAACCAAAATTTCATATATAATTTGAATTTCGATACCACAAGTTTCAGAAAAATAAAAAAACGATTTATTGAAATTGGAATGAAAAAAAAATGTACGTTAGAAATGTTCAGATCAGAATCGACGAAATTCAAAATCAGAAATTGAAAATTTCCGGATTAGAATTTTGAAATGTAAATTTTGATTTGTACCCATAATATATAACTTGCATACTTATATGATCTAGATAAATAGTATATCAATATAGTTTCGGAACTTAAAATCAGATCGGAATCGAAATTTTATACAAAATTCGTATTATGATACCAAAAGTTTTAGAAAAAAAAATAGAAATTTGATTTTTGGAATTGGAATGAAAAAAATCCCCAAGTCAGAAATATTCGGATCAGAATCTACGGAACAAAATTTGAAACACGAGCGAACAAATATACTTACCCAACTAACTAAATTTTGCTCTTCCGTCGGTCGTGCAGTGTCCATGGCCGGACGGCCCGTGATAAGCTCAAGGAGGACGACACCGAAACTATAAACGTCCGATTTCAATGTCAATTCACCTTGTCTCTCGTATTCCGGTGCACAATATCCATATCCCGCCATCACCCTCGGTTGCATCTTATTGCCACTCTGCACGAGCTTGGCTAGCCCGTATTCCGAGAGTCTCGGATTGTTCGCATCATCGAGCAGGATGTTCGATGATTTCAAATCACGATATATAATGGGGGGATCGGCTTTCTCGTGCAAGTACTCGAGCCCTTCTGCGATACCTAGAGCAACTTTCATTCTTGTTGACCAATCTATTGGTTTTTTCCCAGCTGGAAGATCTGCAAAATACACAAAAAAGTGTTCACTTTATTTCTCAAATTCTTTTCCCCAAAATACCCTTTTGCCGAAAAAGGGTAAAGAAGAAAAGGAAAAAAAAATGTATGCAGATCGAGAGTACCGAATAGATGGTTTTTCAAAGAACCGGACGACAAGTATTCGTACACCAAAAGCCTTTGATCTCCATCGGCACAATATCCGATTATCTTTACTAGATTTTGGTGATGAAGGAAACTCAAAGTCGAGACCTCGAGCACGAAATCCTTTCCTCCTTGTACTCCATTTCTGTCTAGTTGTCTAACGGCAACAACCTATTCGAAAAGGGAACATTAAAAAAAAAAAAAAAAAAAAAAACCGGTCGGAAAAAAAAAATTAAAATTTGCGAGACTTTTAGTCTATTATACTGACCTGTCCACTTGGCACAAGTGTCCCTTTAAATACTTTTCCAAATCCGCCTTCCCCCAATAGACATTCTTGACGAAAATTCTTTGTTGCGGTGGCTAGTTCACGGAAAGTGAAAGATTTCACCGCACTATGTTCCGTTTCTTCGATATGATCATCGTTGTCGTCTAATGGATCTTGCGTATTGCTATTATTTACTGCAAAACAAAAAAAAAAAACAACAAAAAACGCGATATTTAGAAAGTGACTTGTAAATTCTGGACAAGTGAAATTGCAACACAATATCACATCAATTGAACACAACATGTCGTAATTAGACAGAAAGTACAACGAAAATTTGTTTGGCTTCCAAATTCCACAAGATGCTATAATACATCACATCATCAAAAACCTTAATTTCAACAAATTTTTCAATCAATAAATCCAATCAATCAACAATATGCATTTGCATGTTTGATTTTTAAGGCTGAAATTCAATTATGGGTCGACCCGACCCGACCCACTCGATCAATTGCTGCCGTACACAGGCTAACACAATACAAAATTTAGTAATAATTCTACGTATGCATGCGTGCATGCACGTAAATAATATGTATATAATAATATATGAAAGAAGGATAGAAGTGAAACCAGGAGGAGGAGGAGAAGGAGAAGGAGGAGTGAAATCTTTCGGCTGAGCTATCGGCAAATCATTGTTATTCTCGTTGCTGCTTTCTTCTTCCTTTTTTTGAAAACATGGGAAGCAACTCATCTCTTTAGGCTAAAAACCAAAAAAAGAAACGAAAAAGCAAAAAAGAAAAAAAAAAAAAAAATCGGTCTCGAAAAAACAAATGTATGTAGAAATCGAAAAACAAAACGGCTCCTTTTTCGTCTGACGACAGAAAAGAAGCACGAAATTCCCTCCTTGTTTTTTTTTCGTTTTCTTGTCTCCAATCCTCAAACTGCTCGAAACCAAACATTAAAGAACACGGAGCCAAACTGAGAAAAAAAATCTCGTTTCTTGAATTAGTTCGACTCGTTTTAATTTATCATGCATGCACGAAAACTTTCGTTACAAGATATCTTTTTTCTTGGGGGGGAATGTGGGGGTGGGGGTGGGGGTGGGGGGGAGGGTCCTCCAGAAGAATGAAGGACCCCTTAAGATGAAGATAATGGCAAGAAATTGTGGAAACCTGGAGGAAAGAAAATCATTTGGAGAAGAAGAGAAAAATGGATTGTTTATGAACAAGCAATTTTTGTTGTTTGCCTCCAACCAAAACTTTTCCTTACAATTTGCTCATTTTGCTCCGGAGAAAAAGGGGGAGGTTTCAATGGAATGGAATGGCACTCTCTTTTTCTTTTTTTATTATTCAAAAATGAAAAAATAGAACATCTTTTTTTTTGTTTTTTGTTTTTTTTTGTTTTTTAGGGTAAATTACGGTCACCCCTAAGGTGGGATCAAATTACGAAAAAACCCCTTTATGTTTTGGTAATTACAACCACCCCTCAATATTCTTGCACGTTCATCTTTATGGTATCAAATTCAACAGAATCTTCCAGATTAAGTGAAATGTTCTCTAATTTGTGCAAAAATGCAGTTTCTGATGCACCATAATCTGGTATTTACAAACCAAGAGACACATCTTACGATCATCTTGTTTCAAAATGTGAAGCTCGAATGAAGTAAAATGGGTACAAACTAGATAATATTCCACATAATCTAGAAGATTCCACTAAATCTGACACCACAATGGTGGACATGCAAGAAGATTCATAGTTGCGGAGGGTGATTGTAATTATCCAAACACAAAAGAGTTTTTTCGTAATTTGACGATACCTCAGGAGGTGGCCGTAATTTACCTTTATTAAAAATTAAAACATCTTTTTTTTCTTAATTCTATTTTGAGGGACATTTATATGTGAAAATAAAAATAAATATTATGAATGTTGTTGCCATCTTTATTTATCACTTATTGTTTTTTATTACAAAGAAATCTGCAACCACAAATATGTGTAATAACTCAATCAACTTGATCACACTTGCATTAGCTCAAGTGATCCTGAAGGCGTCGAACTAACAACCTCATCTCCCTTCCTTGCTATCTGCAAGTAATAAACGATACATTATAATTAGGGAAAATTGCACATCACTCCCTAAAAATTTCTAATTTTTGCACTTTACCCACTCAATTTTTTTAAAAGTGAATGCCCTCCTTAAAAATAAAATTCTTGTTGCACATTGCCCCGATAGAAAAATTTCGATGGATCATTTATCGGAATTGAGTATTTTTGTTGCATGCTGCCCCTTTTATATGTTATTTTTGTTGCACGTTACCCCTTAAAATTAAACGTTATCTTTTTTTTTGCAAATTGCCCATTTAAAATGTTATTTTTATTGCACAATGCCCACAAAAAATTGGTTTCTGGGACAAAGTGCAACCAAAATAATATTTTGAAGGGAGATAATCCTGTTTTTGGATTTTTAGGGAGGAAGTGCGAAAATGGAAAATTTTTAGGGGGTGAAGTGCATTCGGTCTCACACACACACACACACACACACACACATATATATATATATATATTAGCAAAAAACTAACCATCTGATCAGCAGCCATTGATGTGTTATTCCAGGCTCGTTCCAACTCGTCGAAAACCAAATCGATGGTGGGTCGACCTTTGCTGGAATTGGCTGCACAAAGAACAGCTATTTGCAATATGGACTCGAAATCGACGTAGTTAACATTTCCTTTCATCCTAGGATCTACAAAATCCGTCAGTGGCCTTTTTCCAATGCTCACATCTTTCGCCTGCGCAAAGCCACGTTAGAATTTCAACGAAACATTAATTATATTTTTCTCAATTATGCCCTTACTGTTCTTAATTTATTGAGAGAGAGAGAGTTAATGGTGAAATAGTTTATGAGAGGTGGTTTATATTCTGGTCACTTTATTAGGGGTTTCTTGATACGTGTAAAGTATTCAATAAACGATAGTAATAATTTTAAAAAAATAGGGTAAATTACAACTACCCCTGAGGTATGGTTAATTCACGGAAAAAATCCCTCTTGTTTGGATAATTACATCTACCCCTCAACTATGGTTTTTTCTTACACATCCACACTTATAGTGTCAAATTTAACATAATCATCTCGCTCTAGTTTGTACTCGTCTTGTGTAAAAATACAGTTTCTCATGCACCACAATCTGATATATACAAGCCAAAAATCACATATTATGATCATCTTGCTTCAAAATGTGGAGTTCGAATGGGATAAAACGGGTACAAAAGTGAAAATATTCCATATAATATCAAAGATTCCACTAAATTTGAAACTGGATTTATAGTTGAGGGGGTGGTTGTAATTACCCAAACAAGAGGGGAGTTTCGTAATTTAACCATACCTTAGGGGGCGGTTGTAATTTACCCTAAAAATAATACTCCATCCGTTCCTAATTAGGTGTTTCTTTTCACTTATGTACAAGTATTAAAAAACACAATAAATGTGGCCTGATTTTAGGGAAAAACATATAAAAAAGACTAAAATAACCTTTATCACCTATTAATGATTTATTTATAAGAGAGTTAATGTATTTAATGCAGTATTGGATATGTAAAATGACAGATAACATGGAATAATTTTTTTGAAAATGTGAGTTATTGTGAAACAGATGGAGTAATGAAAAAAAAAATCACCTTTCGGGTGAGTTGGTCTCGAGCGTCTAGGTCGAGTTGAATGACTCGTTGACCGGATAAAAGTTGGAGCATGACAATTCCGAAGCTATAAATGTCACTAGCACAAGTTAGTTTAGCGTTGGTCATATATTCGGGGTCCATGTAACCCATTGTTCCTCGAACGTCCGTAAACACTTTGCTATGCTCCATTAGTTTCGATAGTCCGAAATCGGACAGCTTTGCTTCCATGTCATCACTCAGAAGAATATTTGTCAGCTGCATGTATATATATATATATATATATATATATATATATATATATATATATATATATATATATAGCAAGATTAATAAGTTAATTATGTGCTTATAATTTGCTCTCATTTAAAACAAGGAAAATGTCACTAGAGTAGGGTTGAGCTATACATATTATGCTCGATGAAGTGTACACCGGGTGAAGATGAAGACCGACTACCCTTCATCCATACATACACACACACACCAACACGGATGTGTGTGTTTTTGTGTGTGTATAGATAGATGAGTACTAGATGTTGTACTTTGTGTATTTCACCTAAGGTGGAAATTGGAATTGAATTTTTTGGAAACAATAATTTTCTTTCCGAATTTCATAAGTTCATATTTATGATATTTTCAATTTTTTTTTTGGAACAAAATTAGAATACATGTTAGATTCCGATTTCCAATCCCATTTTGAATTTACCAAAATATTTCCAAAAAGTTCCGATTTTCTACCGAAAGTTACACTAACAATATCGATGTTATTATGTTTTTCATATTATAGGCGGCTAAAAAAGAAGACGAAAATTCCGATCCAAAAATTTCCAAATTTGGATCTAGTTTTCCCATTTCAATTTCCGTTTTTATTAACAAAATTGAAATTAGTTTTTCATTTTCGAATAAAAAAAGATTTTTTTTTTTCCAAAAGTGATAATTTCAATCTGATCCGTTCAATTTCAACCCCCGAAATTTCACCTAATAAAGACCGACCCTTCATCCAGGCACAAACAACAACATGCATGGGGATGTCTGTGCTTTTGTACGTAGATGAGTACTATATGTAGACAATGTACTCGATATATTTCACCCGAATTAAAAAAAAAAATTAAAAAAATCACCTTAATATCTCGGTGTACGATGCATCCGTCGGCGTGATAGTGCAGATATCTTAGAGCACAAGCACAACCCCTCAATATTTTCACCCTCAAATCCCATGTTAGGACACAATCTTTCCCTGTCACAAATTAATCCATCTCAAACCCTAAAAAAAAATTAAAAATAATAATAATAATAATAATAAAAAAAAAAAAAAAACATATATACTCAAAAGATGCTGAGCAAGATTCCCATTAGAACAATACTCATAGACCAAATACTGCACCCCACTCGCAATGCCGCATCCGAACAGACAGACGAGATTCGCGTGCCGAACCCTCGAAAGACCGTCGATCTCTCTAGCAAAAGAATCCGACGTGTTTGTCCGAAAAAGCTGTTTGATTGCAATAAGCTGTCCACTTGGCAGCATGCCTTTGTACACCTGTCCTGCACTTCCTCTTCCTAGGAGCTGTTTGCCGTCGGCGACGGCTGTGTAGTTAATCGCGTTCTCAATCTCCGTTTTCGAGAATCTGTAGAGGCCCGAGCATCTCGCGGCGAGTTCTTTGTTTAGGGTTTCTGTCTTTTCTTTCTTAATTTGTTTTTCGGTTTTCGTCACGTGCTTGATTAGCATGATTATCATTGCTAGGCCAATCATTACTAAAGTAACTGCTAAGAGTGCTTCGGATAGATCACCTGATGAATTAATGACATGTTTTTCTTTGTAAGAATATTTTACTGAGTTAGTACTAAAGATGGAAATTTATTTTTAACTTACTCTTCTTGACTTGGATGTAATTGACTGGTTCTGCAAAAGGGGAGGGGTAAAAATGAAAAAAAAAAAAGATGAATGTCAGATCAGTTATAAAATTGTTTTATCCATCCCTGAGGGAAGGTTAAATTATGAAAAACCCCCCTCGTGTTTGGGTAATTACTACCACTCCTTGAACTATGAATCTTTTTACACGTTCACCCATGAGGTATCAAATTTAATGGAATCTTCTAGATTATGTAGAATATTCTCCTGTTTGTACCCGTTTTACCCATTCGAGCTCCACATTTTGAAACAAGATGATCATAAGATGTGTTTCTTCGCTTGTAAATATCAGATTTATCTGGTCATCTGAAAAATGCATTTTTGCACAAAACGAGTACAAACTAGAGAACATTTCACGGAATCTAAAGGTGAATGTGTAAAAAAGATTCATAATTGAGGGGTAGTTGTAGCTACCCAAACATGAGGTTTTTTTTCGTAATTTGACCTTACCTCAGGGATGACCGTAATTTACCATTGTATTTAATTTAAAACATTTTCTTTTTAATATTAACACAAGCCAAGATTCATCGATCACCTAATGGGAATTGAAACGGAATTTTGGAATTCAGCCGATTCATTTCTAAATATTTTCGAATATAACATTCTTTTTTAATTCGTCAGGCCGAGTTCCAAAATCCGATTTTCATATTTTTCAAAAACTTTTGGAGATCAGAATCGAAACTTTTCCTAAAACATTAATTCCGATCCGATTTTCACCCCAATACCAACGTTCATAATTCCCCCAAAAAAATTATAAAAAAAAACGCCCCAAATTTGGACAAATAATTAAATGATATAATTCCTACCTGGATTTGCCAAAGCAGGCAAGCATCTATCAAAATCATCAGCAGATGTACTAAGATTCATTTTGCCAGCTAACACCGAGACAACAACAGCAACAAGACAAACACCTTTTTCGTCGCTAATATTTCCTCGAACACCCAAATCAGCGACCAAATTATCCACTTCTTTCGATATTGCATTAGTACATTTCCCACACGCATCATCGAACGAAGAAGAAGAAGAAGACCCGAAAATCGAACACTTTTCAAGAACGTTTTTATCGATATTTTCCAGCTTAAGATTCGAGCATTTTCCGCTTCCATAGTAGAAACTGTCGAATCCGCATGTTTGGACGGATACGTTTTGCTGAGGGCGAAATGGTCCGCTGCAGTTGCTCCACTGATCTTTAGCAAGGAAGATATTATCCGACGGACTGTTAAATAAACGAAGGGCTAACGCGTTGGTAAAAACGAGGAGGGCGTTTTGGCAGCAATTTGTTATGGGGAAGGTGTTCCAATTCTTGATGTTTTCTTCGACATTAGTGCATCCACCTATCGGTTTGTATGGGAATGCAGTGAAATTTAGCCTGCATGCTGTAAAAAAAAAAAGATGGATTTTTTATCTTATCAAGAAATTAAAATATTTTCGGAAATCAATAATCGAGAATGAAAAAAATGGCATTTATCGTAACAGCGAATATTTTTTTCAGTCTGAATTACGATTGATCAAGAATGATTTTTTTTTTCTTTTTTTTTGAAATTTGAGGAATTAAGCCCTTTTGTGTAATGATCATGAAACTGAAATTAAAAAAAAAAGAAGGAAATATACGAAGGGAGGAATCGAGAAAACGGTATAAACCTGGATCTCCCGGTGATGGAAATGAAGAGGCTTCAATAAAAAAAAGATTAATTAGTAAAAAAGAAAGAACCCTAAATTTCATGCATATTTCTTTCATCTTTAATTTTCTGCTGTCACAAAATCTTAATTCCGGTAATTTCTTGATGTTTGAGAAAATTACAATAAACGAACCATATTTATAATTAGGCAATCTTTGGCCTCAGTCGACTGACGACGAAAGAATTCGTACAACGTTCGTCGTGTAACCTTGGGAGTATCAATCAACATGGAAAGGCTAATCTGTACTGAAATCCAGGCTTAATACATTGTCAGTGCAGATGATGGTCTTTTGGCATTTTATTGCAATAAATTTACTTATATTATCTACTAATTAAGAAATGATTCCTTTTGGCATTTATCAACTTACATGCAAACGAGATTTTCGACTTAGTTTTCGCCGTCTTAATCAATATGGGAAAAATAAATCGAGACCCGATGGATTTGGCTCGAAATTCGAGCCTAATGCATTACATGACAATATTTAATACAACGCCAAACTGCTCGTTTCACGTACTAGATCTATCAATTAAAAAGTGCTTCCATATCAGTTTCAACTTCTCTTTAAGCTTTTCTATGGCAACGGCGTTATTTACCGTCTGCTCCTGCATTTTGATCAACAAACACACACACACACACAGTTATTCAATATCAAGTTGCACAATGCTAAAACGAAGTGAAACGAGATAATAAAATCAAGACTCAATTAAAAACGATGATTTGGAGCCAAAACGATGAACATATGTAGTGAATGCAGTGCAAAATTTAATGCATAAAAAAATAAAAATAAGGGCAAATTGCACATCACCCCCTAGAAATTTCTAATTTTCGCGCTTTACCTCCTCAAATTTTTAAAAAGTGAATGCCCCCCTTTAAAATGTTATTCTTGTTGCACATTGCCCTAATAGGAAAATTCCGATGGATTATTCATCGGCATTTGAGTATTTTTGTTGCACATTGCCTCTTCAAAATGTTATTTTTGTTGCACAATGCCCATAAAAAAATGGCTTATGGGGCAAAGTGCAACCAAAATAATATTTTGAAGGGGGTTATCCAATTCTTGAATTTTTAGGGGGTAAAGTGCGAAAATGGAAAATTTGTAGGGGGTGAAGTGCATTTTGTCCTAAAAATAAATAACTTACCCGTATTAGTAGAGAGACAATTTCAGGCATTTTAAGACTAACTTCATTGGAAACCTCTCCACTCGAAGACCTGAAATCAAATCTATCTGCAACTCGAACTTTAAGTCTCGTACACGAATTTCTAAATATTTTAGCATTCGTATGCCAAACTCCAATCACGGAGTATCGATCGCCCGACGACTGACTTCCAAACGACCATCTTAATCCACCCTTCACTTCTGAATCTAATCTGGCAGAATTTATCAGCCCTTTTATTTTCTCGACCTCTTCATCCTGGAAAATAGAAAGCATAATAATTGGAATAATTCTGTAAGACCTCATTTGGTTGCCAAGATAAGATTAGCCAAGATAAAATTAAATAATCTAAGGGTAAATTACAACCACCCCTGAGGTATGGTCAAATTATGAAAAAAACCCTCATGTTTGGATAGTTACATCTACCCTCAACTATGAATCTTCTTACATCTCCACCCTTATAGTGTCAAATTCAACATAATTATCTAGATTTTGTCGAATGTTCTCTAGTTTGTACTCGTTATGTGCAAAAATGGAGTTTTCCGATGCACCACAATCTGATATATACAAGCCAAAAAACACATCTTATGATCATCTTGCTTCAAAATGTGGAGCTAAAAAACGGGTAAAAAATTGAGAATATTCCATATAATCCAGAAGATTCCACTAAATCTGAAACAGCAAGGGTGGACGTGTAAAAAGATTTATAGTTGAGGGGGTTAGTTGTAACTAACCAAACAGGAAGGGGGTTTTCGTAATTTAATCATACCTCAGGGGTTGGTTGTAATTTACCCATAATCTAATGAAACCCAATTATATTACTGGATCTTCGATGATCCAATAAAAAACATGTCTAGAAGGCAAGATAAGCTATGATAATATAATTTTTGCGGGTCGACCGGGCAAGTTATTGGGGATACCAAACATCAAACAAAGTCCTATTATTTAGTTAATCACGGTTAATCTTCCCAACCAAACGAGGCCTAAGAAATTAAGAAAACTCGGATTAAGTTTAAAGAACTTACTGTTAAGGCTGATAAAATTCTCTTCGTGCAAAGCATCAGCCTCAAATCGAGGTTCTTATCGGGACAGGACATATCTACAACCAGGTGGCGCACTCGGTTCAACTCAATCTAAGAAAACGAGAGTAATATTTTTATTTTTTAAACACAAGTTAGAACTGGAAAAGCAAATACACGTGCGAAAAAAAAACTTGCCTTGCAAAGTTCGAGTTCGTTTGTGTCTTTGGAAACAGCACACTTACACGATATGGTTGAATCAGGTTGTGTGTTGTCAGACAACTGCATCACGTGAGCATCGGTCTGAATAACGGAATTTATAATTTAAAAAAAGAAAAAGAAGCATGGAGTTCCCGGAAAAAAATACCTTTACGTGGTATAACTCCTTCTCCTCAAACTCGAAATCGAATTTCGGGACTACGTTGCTTGTAATGTATTCGACATACGCAGCGGGAAGATTTGTGTAAAATGATTTGTGCAATTGTTTCAAAGTGCCTCCATGCAGAGAGCTTCCTTTCATGGATTCTCGTGTATACGAACGGTTCCTGCACGCCCAAAATTTTCAACGGAATTATATCTTACGTTTTTATGTAGATGAATTTACATAAGCAAATGGGACTAAAATTTCAAAAAAAAAAAGTAGAACGCGAAGTTAGAATTCAGCGTAATACATTTCGATAAGTTAAATTTGGGATATGATTAGAAAGTTCGTGCTCGTCAACAAACAAAGAAACACTAACCCATGGAAATGAATTTTTCCGAATCGAAGAACGAGAGTAGGTTTTATTTCTCCGAACTCGTTTCCCGTCATCTCTTTCACTCGCCGAATAGATGAAAACAAGTCGTGCTTCACTGTTTCAGAAACAAAAATCCACGGATTTTCTGACAGCTCACTTGCCTTGTCAACATTTTCTACACAAGAACTTATCATCAGCAACGAAAAAGGATGTGCAGAATACCTTCCGACACACTTAGAGGGTCATTTTTGCAATTTTCAATAAATTGAAAACACATTTCGGTACCAAATCTGCAAATAGTTTTGTTGCTTCCTTAATTCTTTACATTGATCAATTGCAAATTCACAAACGATAACAATTTATAAGAATAGATTTGAATATATTGCACGTCACCCCCTATAAATTTCTATTTTTTGCACTTTACCCCCTCCAAATTTAAAAAAGTGAATGCCCCTCTTCAAAATGTTATTCTTGTTGCACATTGCCCCGATAACAACATTCCAATGGATTATTTACCAGCTATGTAGCACGGACAAGGAAACGCGTACATGGGGAAACAAGGAAACGGATACGAGGAAACTTCGTTTTCCAAAAAGTTGGATACGGGAACGCGGGGAAACGCGTAAATAATACAAATATAGGGGTGCATTCATAATTTCTAAAAATATTATAATGTTTAATATACTCCACAAATTACATTCCGGGCATATAAACTTATTTTAGTATGGAATTAACCTCTACAAAAATATTAAAACACCACAAGAAGTGAAAAGGAGACATAATATTTAAGATTTTTTTAAGCGTATGCAATTCGGAGTTTTTATTTAAAAGAAATTTGGGTTTATTTTGTTTGGAATTGGCTTTTGGGGGCGAAGTGCCACCAAAACAATATTTCGAAGGGGGTTATCCGTTTTTTTAATCTTTAGGGGGGGAAAGTGCAAACATGCAAAATATATATGCGGCAAAGTGCATTTTTTCCTACTATATAATTTATAAACAAATAGAGACATATTTATTTTATAATTTATAAATGTACCCCATATTTTTAATATCTATGCTATGTGCTACAGAAAAAAGACATGCTTTTGAAAGCAAAAATGCAGGTTGTACATTGTGCTGCTACATCTTGTACCTTAAGATATCGAGTGAAAAAAGAACGAACCTTTGAGCACTAGAGCAAGAGGCTTTTCACCGGATTTTCGGTCAACGGACTCCACATCCACCGGCTCGAGGCGAGTCAACTCGGAAACCCTTGACTCGTCGCTCAGTCCGACGACGACCCATTTAGATATAGCATTTTCAGCGTACACGATTTTCTTAGGATTATTTTTCGACACCAGATTCAGATTCCTCTGGAAGCGAGGGATTGCTGACTCCGGCGGTGGCGCTGGGGACGGCGGAGATGAGGCGGCGCCGCCCTTTGACAGCCTCTTATGCGGGGGTACGTATGCCATTACAGTTTACAAATTACAATATGCAACCCTTTTGATCGGTACATCTCAGTTTTATAACTTAATCAATTAATGCTTCACTGTACAGTACGGACACGGAAACGGTGATTCGGGAAAATTGCATGTCGCAAAAATGAGAATACAGAAACTTGGGGGAAACTTGTAAATATTAAAAGTATATGGATATATTTATAAATATGCTATATAAGCATATACAAGTTTTAATTTATATATAAATTCTTTTTATATATTTCCATACAAATATATTCACAATCAATATTATTATTATCAACTATTAATTTGCAATTAATCATGTAAATAATTAGAGAATCAAAAAAAATATTTGAAAATTAACTATTCAAACATGTTTTTAACTTTCCAGAAATTGCAAAATGGCCCATAAGATGTCCTGCATGTGTCCTTGAGTGTTGGACACGACACGTATCCCAAACACGGATACGTTAAGAAGCTGAAGTTTCCGTACTACATACGTTATTCATATTTTGTTAGTCCAAAAATTTATTATACTTCAAATTTAAAGGCTAATTTTGCAAGAGCATCTCCATTTGAAGGCATATCCAATATCATTTATCAACTATACATAAGACTATTTACAAATATGACCAATGTTTCTAAAATATCTAGTATTTAATATAAAGTATACACATTTGTTATTTTTCAAGCAGTGTAGTTTCGTTTGCCACCATTTTTTTTTAAAGTATATTTCGGGTCTTCGAAGATAAAATTACGGTTCTGCCACTGCACGTGAAAAATTCCCGGTTATTGTTTCAGTCGAGCAAAAGCAAACCTATTCATCCTCTCAAGAATCCCGTTCGCTTTCCTCTTAGCCCTCGAAGTCCCACTCTTCGCTACTCGAGACAAAATTTCGTACGCATTCTCCACTTCACTTATCTCCCTCAACTTTCTCCGATCACTAAAACACACATTATAAATAATCGAAACGCAATTTTCGGTGCTCTTTTCACTTACATTCTCTCCCAAAACACCAAACAAGCAAAATATCACCCCACACTCTTCAATCTCCTCGATCGCCCTCTCGTGGCTCGAAAGCATTGCAAGAATTTCGAGCATTTCATCGACTAGCACACAATCGATAATCTTCTCAACAATAGGCATAACGGCTCCTTCCCGGACGACTATTTCCCGGTTTTCGAAAACGGTGCACAAATTCAAGATTGCGAAACAAGCATCTCTCAAAGCGAATGGATGCCCTTCTTCGATTAGCTCGATCAAAGCCCTGATAGCACCCGATTTACTAATCAAGTGTTTGTTTGAATCGAGGGTTGATAAAGAGGAAATGGCTGCAGCAGCATTGCTTCTCGTTTTTACATTTTCGTCTCTCAACGACTCGACGAGAAAAGAAACGGCTAATGGGCTGTTCTCTCCTGCCACTATCCTTTTCTTGTTGCTTTCATGAGTGGAGATATTCAAAACTATTGCAACCAAATCGTTGCGCAGATCGGAATCAGAATTCGTGTTTCGGATCAAAATCGGAGAGAATAATCGGGGAATGGCATCCTTAGTCTCTCCGAAAAGAGCCCGGAAAGAGGAGAATTTTTTTGTGAGAAAACGAAGCTCTTTCGCAGCATCGGCTCGATCGGAAGTGGACGAAAGTTTTTCGAGAAGTTCAATCAAATGCTCTGCGTTTGCGTTTGCCGAAAAGTCTTGGGTTTCATCGTCGTCGATGGGGATCTCAAATCTGTGCAACGTACACCAGTTGTCAATCATTTTCTTGATTGAAAGATTTGGGATTAGGGCAGTGTGGGGAAGAAGCTGATTGGTTAGTGGGCATGTTTGATGCCCATCTTTCAGCCATTCTTCAATAATTTGCTCCTCATATGTCTGCCAAATAAATATATATATGAGAGAGAGAGAGAGAGAGAGAGAGAGAGAGAGAGAGAGAGAGAGAGAGAGAGAGAGAGAGAGAGAGAGAGAGAGAGATGAACAGTTGAATCAAACAACCACCTGACCAGAGGCGAGGACAACAGGGTGTCTCATAAGAACACCAGAAATCGGACAGTTGAATTCTGGAGGTGGATTTTTTTGAAGAGCAAGACAAATTTCAATTGCATTTTCGGTAGCGTCCAAATCGTCGTCGTCTTCCTCCATTAAAGCCTCCACCACTCTCTGAAGCTCTTTCTTCAGCTCTGCTGCAGTTGCCATTTTTCTTTTCCCCAGCCTAATTGGCCATTTTTAAAACCCTAATTTATCCAATTTTCCCCCAATCTGATAGGATTGTTCACTCAAACAGCAGTTTTGCAAGAAATTTAATAAAATGAAAATGAAGACTATAGTGCGACTCTGTTGTGTCATACTTTTCTTGCATTTTTATTTATTTATTTCCAAGATTTGCTTTAATTAAATTTATAAAAAAAAAAGAAAAAAAAAAAAAAAAAGCAAGATTCTTTGTAGATTTTAATAGTTTCTTTACGTTGTGAAAGAAAATTATTTGTAAAGTAGAGGATTATTTCTGCAATTATATATAATTCCATGTGTTGCGTGTAAGATAGATTATTTATTTTTACAGACACGGAAATAGCAATACGCGAAAATGAAAAAAAAAAAGTACTGGAGTTTAGGAAAAAAATTAAATATTACAAGTATAGGGGATATTTATAAATATATTGTATAAACATATATAAGTTTATATTTATATATGTATATACATTCTTTTTATATTTATTCATTTTTTTTTTTTGAGAAACTATATTTCTTCATTTAAATGTATTAAAAACTAATATTATTATCAACTATCAGTGTACAACTCATCAATAATATATGTACATAACTAGGGAAGCAAAAAATAATATTTCGAAATTTGCTATTCAAACGCATTTTTAATTTTTCTGAATTTGAAAAATGAGATGTAAGATATCTGACATGTGTTCGAAACAGGAATACGTTAACATATTGAAGTTTTCGTGCTACGTAAATCCTAATTTTTAGTAATAGTTCTATAAATCCAATTGAGTTATATATATAAAAAAAATCATTTGTTGGAGAAAAATATTCAAATTTGTTTGATTAATACGATGCAAACAAAACATGTAATATCAAATATGTGGACGTAACCCGGATGAGGTATTATTTAATAATTTTAATGTTGGATCATTAAATTCATAATTACAATATTGAAATAAAATTAGTACTCCCACTGCCGCCAACAATTAAGAATAAATTAATGTCTAATGAAAATGAATAGACCATAATTCCATATGCCGACATCTATAAAAATATCATTCTTTTTTTTTTCTTTTTTTTTTTATGAAAGTAGTGGTCACTACTCACTAGTCACTAGGACTGCATAACTTCTTCATTTTTTTTTAATTTTTCTTAATTTAAAAAATTAAAATAATAAATAAATAATTATAGAAAGTGACTGCACTTGGAATTTTTTTTTGTCCCAATTTGAAATATTTGGTGGCCAATCCCATGTCATTAGGTCAAATTGTCAATCTTTAAATTATCAATCCCCAAGCAATGCAATTTAATTATATCAATAATTGACCAAAACACGTGGATTTGTAGAAAATAACATAAAATATTGTTGTGTATTCTTTGAAGAGAAAAAGAAAAATAAAAGAAAAAAGAAACGTGTAAATTCAATTGGAGATTTTAAAGAATTTTATACCTTTTATAACTTTTAAATTAGAAATTTAGGTTTGATTATCCTTATTATTTGTGCACACACATAATCACGAACTTTTATAGTGGTCAAAATTGAATGAATATATATATATAAAAAAAAAAAAAAAAAAAAAAGAATATCAAATTTCAAATTGAAGTCAATTTTCGTATTTTCATGTATAATCATTTTTACCCACATAAATAATTAGGTTAGGGATTTTTATGCAAAAGTCCCCAACCAAGCATGTTTATTATTCTAGGTTTAGGGGACATATCTCTTTTACCAATAAGCCCATCCCTTTAATATTTATTATAACTAAAGGAAACATTCATGTATATCCCAATATTACCCTCAACCATTTATACCCAATTCTTAATTGTAATCCAAATTAATCAATTTTGTCCATAAAAGTTCAATTTTGACCACAAAAATTCAATTTTGACTTTTTTTTGGAGTATAATTTAATATGCTCCAATTTCATCCTTAACTTAATTTAATCTCAATTTGACCCCAAATTTCACAAATTATTAAATTTTGACCCAAAATTTTTTTTTTTTCAAAAAATATTTTTTTTTTCAAAAACTTTTTTTTTGCCGCCGGATTCCGGCGTTGACCGGCGGTCAACGCCGGTCTCCGGCGTTGACTTTTTTTATTTTTTTTATTTTTTTTTTTTTTTTTTTTTTCTTTCTTCCGGATTTTTTCGCCGGTTTCCAGCGTAGACCGGCGGTCAACGCCGGTCTCCGGCGTTGACTTTTTTTTTTTTTTTTTTTTTTTTCTTCCGGATTTTTTTTTCCGCCGGATTTTTTCGCCGGTTTCCGGCGGTCTCTTTTTTTAGTGTTTTTTTAAGTTTTTTGTTTTGTTTGGTTTGTTTTGTTTTTCCACGTCCGCCGCTAAACGTTGACCGTAATTGTGCTGTCACTGACAGTAAATTAACGTAATTATACTGTCAATGATAGTTAATTAACGTAATTGTACTGCCGTTGACATTACATTTATGTAATTGTGCTGCCGTTGACAGTAAATTAATGCAATATTATATTTTTTTATTTATTATTATTTTTTTTTATTTTTTTTTGATTTGTTGACAAGTCAACGTAATTATATTATTGTCGTTGACAGTAAAATAACTGTAAACACAATAATATTACTGTCAACAACATCAATATTATTATTTTTTTGTGGTGTTTGTATTAATATTACTGTCTATTATTGTAATATTACTGTAAACACAATAATATTACTGTGGTTGACGGTAATATTACTGTTTGTTATAGTAATATTCCTGTCAACCACATCAATA